GAGTGAGGCGCGCAGGACCCCAGCTCGCTCCCACACTGCCGAGGGCAGATCGTTCTACGCTGTGCAACGAGGGTCCTCGCGAAGGGGTCACCCTCCGACCTGGGAATTTGCCTTAAGGAAATGGCCAGACATGTGCACGGAGCTGCCACTCAGGGTGTCCCCTTGTCGTTATTTGTCAGACTGAAAGTGAAGTCAAACCAGATGTCCAACAGTAAGGGTCGGTTAAATGATTGAAGGCAGATCTGTACATTGGAATCTCATGTAGCCATTAAAGTATCTCAGAGCAGAATCTTTATGGAACAGTTTTCCTGATCTACAGTATTAATGAGGAAAGCATCATATCAAACATACTGTGTGGGCCACACAGGAAACCATCACGGACCAGCTGTCGTCACCCTGCACGGTGGGGAGGCGGGATTTCACGCTGCCAGCGTTGGAGGTGAGGCTCCAGCCAGCACAGGGAAGGCAGGCGGTTGGGGGCCCCGGTTTGCTGGCTCTTCAGGCGTTTGCAACCGTAGGGTCTAAAGAGAGAGGTGGCGTGGCACACAGAAGGGACTCGCCCCTCCCTCAGGGGCCACAGCGATTACAGCCCCCTCGACTAAGTAAGAAGCGACGTGGGCCAGATTTCTCCTAAAGGTCGTCTTTGTGGTCAGCAGTGGTGGCGGGATCGAGTGAGACACGCAGGCCTCTCCCCACCCGTCTGAACATCTCTACCAAGGATATTCAGCAGAAAGTCGAAATATTTTTAACAAAATAATAAGTTGCCTCTGAGCCATTGTGTGTTTTCTTCCCTGGTGACTAATTAGAACTGGCGATCGTGGGGATTGTTTATTGCTGTCAATAAACTTGTTGATGCCTTTAGATTCTGAGGGAGGGAGGTGCAGGTATGTGTGTTTGATGCTTGCCACCAACATTCAAACATTTATCTGGTATAGCTAGATATTTTATTATAATCTAAAACAGATTAACAGTCTTCATGTTGAAAACTACAATATATGATAATAGCATGTTGTTCAAGGAAAAGTGTCGAAACCAGCACTGTATACTCCAAAACCCAGGATGATTAAGGAACTTGGAAACTGCCCCCTCTGTGCTAGTATGCTTTCTGGATGGAATTAATAGCATTTTGAACAAAAAAAATTATAGTATATCATTTGAAAGTAAGGGCTAGTTTTTGGAATAACTTTCTGACTTAAATGTGGGAAGTAGTTGGCGTTTCTGTGCATGTGTTGCTGGAAAGTAAGAAGGACACACGTCAGAGAACCTGCTCTTTTGCAGCACGGACTCCAGCGCCGCGGGAACACGAGCACCACACAGGTGGTCCGAAGGTACAGGGTGCACAGCCCTCCTACCAACTCTCTCTAGAAGATCTAATTCCAGAACTTTCCATCAAGATAAGGAGTCCTGCTGCCCCGCGCCCCTCACCTAGTGGGTTGCGTCGATGCCCCCAGACTGTGCCGCCTGCTTGGCGAGGTGCGGTAGGGCCGTCCTGGGACGCCAGGAGAGACACTCACAGCCCCAGGTCCAGACCTTGGAGAGGAAGGGCAGGTTCACTCGTGGTCACGCGGTGCTGTGTTCGTGCCGACCTGGCCACGCCGTGCCAGTGGGCTGAGGCGGTGGACTCCGACGTGCCCACCTTCGCAAAGGGAGGAGTGACGCGTTTGTTTACAGGTCCAGATGGTGACAAAGTGGTAGCTTCGTTAGGAGATAAGTGGAAATGGTGAATTCTGTGTTCTGAACTTCCTGGAGGTTAGTAATTCAACGTCATTAGGGAAAAAACCTTTACTAAAGTTTTAGACGCAGACATACTTTGAAAGGCTTAATTTGAGGTTGGCTACGCTTCCGCTGTAATTGTTAGGTGGATAAATGGGGCTACTCTGTCCGGGACCCAACTCTTCATCCTCTTGCTGTAGACACGACACTGAGACCTGGCAGACAGGGGCGAGCGGCCCCATTAGGTTGGGGAGGACCTAGCAGAGGCAGTGCCCTGAGGTTGGCGTCCGGGGGAGACCCGCACGGTTTGGACTTGGCCCAAGGGCATCACGGTGGCCCCTATCTTGGCAGTGGGAAGAGGCCCCGCAGGGCTGCGGAGCCCACAGAGGACAGATAAGCCCTGGGCCCCTCGTCCTTGCTTGGTCCTGCAGCGCCAGCCTCCGCGAGGTGAGGGTCCCAGCCCTGCTTTGCATGGAGGGCAGTCACTGTCCAAAGGGGCTGTATCCTTTCAAGACACCTCTCTGCGGCTCAGCGCGGAGTGAGCAGACTTCGAGGGGCTTTCTGGGCCACAGCCAGGTGCCTCTGGCCCTGGGGGCCCAGCCTTTGTACGTCTCTCCCCAGGCCATCTGGGGCTGTTGAAACCGTCACGGGATGGCACGCGGTTGGGAGCACAGGACCCGGGCAGTGGGCTGCGCCCACGTGATAGAAACGGGGTGGACAGCTGCATCTCCGGAGCTGCCCGGACCTACCTGGGCCCCCTAAGTCCTGCCGGGGGCAGGTGCCTTTGCTTGGGTTTAGTTTTCAGTCTGGGGAGAGCCCCCCTGCCCCAGGCCCTGGGTTCATCCACCCCTCACCCCTGGGCAGCGGCAGCATGGCCCCTCCCTGGTCTCGCCTCACATCCCGCGCACGTCCAGTGTCAGGGCGTCGTTTTCCACGCGGTCGTGTTTAAAACTAGGTCTGTGTCTCTTTTTCCCATTAGCCTCAGGGTTCCTTCGGGACGGGGCCTTTACCCACTCATCTGTGTCCCCAGCATTCCCCAGTAGGCAGGATACAGAGAGGCTGGGCACTGGCCGAGATCTGAGACCCTATTTCTATAAAACAGAAGTGCCGACAGATGCGTCCGTGCACATGTACGTGAACATGCAAAAAAGGGCTCGGCGGACACACACCCGGCTACGGGGGTCACGCCTGGGAGGACTGTTACGAGTGTAATCATTAAGAGGCATCTTGTTTCAGAAGTCCTTCCGGGCCGTGGAGTAGACGACAGCGACTCGGTTGATGTGGCCGATCGAGCCAGTCACCGGGCGGCACGGGGGGGGAAGCTGGCACTGGTGCCGGCTCCAGGAAGACCGTCCTCACACTGCGGCGTCCCGGCACCCGCGTGTGCTAACCCTGCTGCTCCGGAGCGCGAGCGCCTTCTCGCTGTCTAGGCAGCCTCAGTTTGAGGGTGAGACGCCGCCCCGCGCTGCCTGAGTGCTGTCTCGTGGGGGAAGAGGCACTTCCTCTGAAGTCATGTCTGTAGCTGCCAGTCTTCCGCCGTCGCAGGGGGAGTCCTGGCGGGGCTGCCCGGCACTCCTGCGTGCTGTGGGGAGTGCGGGTGTGGACTCCTGTACGTTAGGAGACGTATTGTACCTGCTCGGAGGGGACTGAGCCCAGAGAATTCCCTCGTGCATAGGCATTCCTGTCCGCCCTCCCCTCGGACCCGGCCTTCCCGCCCGTGCTGCCTGTAACAGCCACAGAACTGAGGGGGGGCTGTTCTGCGGGTGCCCGTGAGCGGCCTGCTGGGGCAGCCGGGGCGGTTGTGGGGGACACTGGCCAGGTTTCAAGGGCCACGCAAGGAAATCAGCTCCCAGGCCGCCAAGCAGACAGGCTCGCATGTCTCGTGGGGAGCAAGCCTTTCCCTCTGTTCCTTGGAACACCTTTATTATAGAGCCTCGTATGTCAAAAACAAAAGAGCCTTCACATAAAAATAATGAAACAAGATATTTTTCTGACATGAGGAAAATGCTTTCTTCCGAGTTTCCAGACACTACCTGACTGTTCCTTTAAAACTTTTAGACTAAGCTCCTTACAATGTCTTTCTTGTTGATAAATTCTTTTGACTTCTGTTTTATTATGCAGCTGCCCAGCTTTAGGGTAGTGTTCACACCTCCACAGGTAGGTGGGTGTTCCTGGGTAGGTCCCCAGGACACCTGGGAGGGGAGCAGGTGCTTCCCTGGGCCTGTGGGCTGCGCAGGTCGGTGAGTCCCGAGGCCTCCTCTGCCTCGGGGGCACCTCACCCCCAGGGCGTAAGGAGGAGACACCCTCACCTTCTCTCACTGCTCCGCCCCTTCATCCGCTTGTCTCCTTATCAGCTGCAACCGCAAATGCGCTGCGTGATTCATGCTCCCTGCTGAGTAACACCCCGTCACGGTGAACTGCTGGTTAGCAACACTGCGATCCGTGGGTGCTTACACAGGAGGGAAAGAAGAAAGTACGAAAGGTCTTTCTTGTTCATGATTAACCTATCACTGTCTTACAGTTGAGAGAGAAGAAATGTATAGGAGGATCATGTGGGGGACCCAGCTGGTAACTAAAGCAGCTCCCTGGTGCAGCCTCCGTGTCCCAGCCCTGCGGAGACCCACGCCCGACGCAGGCTTTTGACCTTATGTTGCTTGGGGATCCGTTTGGCGGTGACTAGAGAGAGTTGATTTTAGGGAGGTGATTGCCTGGTGCTCTGTTTGGACCAGCTGAGCCTGGGCTGTGGGGGATAAGACTTGGGGGAAACAATGTGGAGGTGACTCCAGGGTGTGTGTCAAATCCACTGAACACCCAACTGTAAAGAATTTATTGTAGGCCGGGCGCGGTGGCTCACACCTGTAATCCCAGCACTCTGGGAGGCCAAGGTGGGAAGATTGCTTGAGGTCAGGAGTTCGAGACCAGCCTGGGTAAGAGCAAGACCCTGTCTCTACTAAAAATAGAAAAATGAGCCGGGCACGGTGGTGCACCTGTAGTCCTAGCTACTCAGGAGGCTGAGGCAGGAGGATCACTTGAGCCCAGGAGTTTGAGGTTGCGCTAGGCTGATGCTAGCTGGAATGACAGACTCTCAAAAATAAAAAATTAAAATTCATTGCAGTACTTAATGCCCCAGGTTTCTGCCAGGCCTCATGGCACAAATCAGAGACGCGGCTGCAGGTAACGAGCGGGCAGGCGGCCAAGGCTTTGCTGGTGTTGGCAGTACCTGTGCAGCGTTCTGCTTCCGTTGCCTGTGATGTGCGCCTCTAACTGCCCTCTCTGTCCCGATCCAGAAGAGGCGGACCACTACAACTTCGGGGCGGGCACCCTGTCGAGGAAGAAGAAGGTGCTGGTGGCGCTGCGGGACGAGGGCCTGCGCCGGCGCGCGCACCTGGACATCAGCATGCCGCACGACTTCCGCCCGGTGTCCTCCGTCATCGACGTGGACATCCTGCCCGAGACGCACCGCCGCGTGAGGCTGTACCGGCACGGCTGCGAGAAGCCGCTGGGCTTCTACATCCGCGACGGCACGAGCGTGCGGGTGACGCCGCACGGGCTGGAGAAGGTGCCGGGCATCTTCATCTCGCGCATGGTGCCCGGCGGCCTGGCGGAGAGCACCGGGCTGCTGGCCGTGAACGACGAGGTCCTGGAGGTGAACGGGATCGAGGTGGCGGGGAAGACGCTGGACCAGGTCACGGACATGATGATCGCCAACAGCCACAACCTCATCGTCACCGTCAAGCCCGCCAACCAGAGGAACAACGTGGTGCGCGGCGGCCGCGCGCCCAG